GCCAATACATTTACTTTCAACCCTTTTTCGCATGTCATTTCACCTCCTCTTTACGTGGAATTTCAATCTATATTCTTGACACCACTCAACCTCCTCTTTGCATAGAATTTCAATCAACATTATTTTTCTAACGCAAACCCAACTCCTAATTGCATAGACTAGTATTTTTCTGACCATGTTTGTGTCGCCTTCGCCTAAGAAGCTGCCTAGATCGAATTTTGTGGGTGTCACAACACTGCATAAGCCTCTTAATGAGACGGGATGCATGAAAATAAACGAGTTGCCAACTAGATTATTCAACTGTTGGAAATGATGAAAGAGCTCATCGTGCTCCCTTTTGAATGCTTGGTTCAATTTAAAATTAAGAAAGACATTGAATTTGATGAAAATCAACATAAACCTTCTCAATTTCCTGAAGTCAATTTACCTACATGCTTTTTCTTTGTCTTGAAGTAGAATCATAGTTTATTTGTGAAAAGTTGAAATAGATTCTTTAGATACCCTAATAAAGTAGCCATAATAGTTCACCCACCATGTACTATGCTTTTAGGCATTTATTTGTAACGAGTTCACATACGAAACTTTTACGATGAGAATTAAAACTACGAAACTATGACTACATAATATTCAGAGGGATAGAAAAGAAGCGCGAATCAAACTCTGGTAAAAAATCTCTGCTCTATAACGGAGCATTTTTTTCTGCAGTCAATGCCATGGCTCAGGCATAACGGACCTTTTTTCTCTGCAATCAATGCCATGGCTCAGGCATAAAGGATCATTTTTTTCTGCAATCAATGCCATCTGTAATTTCAACCTAGGTTTAAATATTGAAAGAAATCTCATCGTTCAGTGAGACTAAATTCTCCTTTAATTCGCATTCCACTGTAATTTCAACCTAGGTTCAAATATTGATGGAATTTATTATTGATGCATTAAGCCGAGATCAGTTGGGTGCGTTTATCGTGTGTGTTGTATGATCATCGATAACACAGCTTTAATCTGCTTCTATTTGCTCACTTGTGTTCGCTTTTTCGTTTCCAATGCGATCAGGACGGTTCTTCAATTTCGTATTGGCAGCATTCAATCAAATTCATTTATTCATCTAGCAAAAAGTAATTCATTTCATGCGTGTGTAGCGACGAGCGCAAGTGACGTGAGTAGCTTGGTTAATTTAACCTCTTAGGAGACAAATTTGTTCAATGTTTCAAATGCTATTACCAAGAAAATTGTACGCTGACTTTGAAAACTAAAATGGCTTCCCCAGAGAAGTGCAAAATATTTATAAAGAAGACTTTTTGCCATAGTCCATCGCCACGCAAGTATTAATTTCCAGCGACCAATTCGATAACTATCAGAGGTTCACTGGTTTTTGCTCAGCTTTAATAGGGACTTTTGGCTGCATGTTAAACAAGAACCTCAACTGCCGGCTCAAGGCGAAATGTTTTTTTCAGCGGACCGGTCATGTCAGTCATATGTTTTTTTCAGCGGACCGGTCATGTCAGTCAAATGTTTTTTTTTTTCAGCGGACCGGTCATATCAGTCAAATGTTTTTTCAGCGGACCGGTCATGTCAGTCAAATGTTTTTTTTTTTCAGCGGACCGGTCATGTCAGTCAAATGTTTTTTTTTTCAGCGGACCGGTCATATCAGTCATTTGTTTTTTTCAGCGGACCGGTCATGTCAGTCAAATGTTTTTTTTTCAGCGGACCGGTCATGTCAGTCAAATGTTTTTTTTTTCAGCGGACCGGTAATGTCAGTCATGGCGTGAGACCAGGGCCTATACTTTTAAAAAAAGTTAAGAGATCGTAAGTTCATCAGCCAGTCATTGACGGCCTTTCAAGCGAAATCCACCAATCATAGACAAGAAAATAGAGCGTAAGTACTTACGTTCACTTAGCGAATTTTGAAAGTATAGGCCCTGGTCTGGTGGTGCAGTTCACATTTCTCAGTTCTATTCAATAATTCAGTCACTTCGCGCACATCTAGTGTGCTAGAATGACACCGCCAACCAACTATGCGCAGAGATCACTTCCAGATTCCCGGTAATAATTACAGGTATGGAATAATTCATGATCGTTGGCTTCGTCCTCGTTCAACTCTTAGTTTCTAACATATTATTTTAGTATAGAAAGATTTTTTAGGATTTAAGACTTGGTTCGTGATCAATAGACGTGATCAACATGTCCATGCACTAGCAACGATGTTCAATTATTTTGATCGAAATAGTTTCAAAAGATCGAAGCGACATTATTGATATTATTCAGCCTTGAACGGTTTTGTTGTGTGGTAATGAGTCGTAATGTGACGCAATTTTTTCGGGAAAACTACAAAGAATTTTTTAGGGTTATTCACTAACTAACGTACTAGAATTGAAATACGCAACAAATATCGAGCAAATGAGAAATTAGGTCCAACATTATACTACCAGAAATATGTTGCTGCGGTAGGCTCCATATCTAATGAGTGACCATCGAACTGAAATTGAGTAAAATATTTAAACGTACTCGTATTTCTGTATCAGCGCTCAATATTTTTTACAAACTAATTGTGAAGAATCGACATAATGTTTATTTTTTGGTCAATACTGCAGAACAACAGCAATCTAAAAGCAATCAGAATTCTTCGTATAGGTGCATTCTGACGATGAGAAGCAATGTGGTGTACTCTTTCTTCAGACACGCCGTTAATAAAATTTATTCAAAGACGAGCGCAGGTCTGTTTCTTCCTGTTTTTCCACCCGTATGCGCCCGTATCCACCGGAATAACGGGATTGCGATTCGAAAATTTTTCAATTTCATTTATCAACAGGCGCACAATCCAAGGAAATAAAGAAGGAAACATAATGAAACGATGAGTACTGTTTATTCTCTCGGAAAATATGAGACGCTGTTCAATATTACAGACATAATAATCCGTATAATCTTAAATGATAAGTTCCACCGCGAACATTAAAGCAGTGATACTCGAGGCAGGAAAGCAAGAAGGATTGTCCAAATAAAGATTAAATTATATCAATATTATAGCATTAGGTTTATTGTGATCTTTTGTAACGAGTAGGATTACTTAGAACAATTTTTAAAAATTTCAGGAATAGAATTTTTTCACTGTTCTCTCCATTTTCGCCCCCAGCAATACAACCCCCTTTTGATAGTGCATATGGTAGGCTCGATCGATTTTTCTGTCTATTAATAATGTCACAAACTCGACGGTTTAAAGACAAACTTAAAATAAGCCACGATTACTATCCACTCAAACAGCGTACTAAAATTAATTGAAACTTAAATGCAGATAATCAACAAAATCTATTTGATTAATAAACTAAAAACATTGATTAAAACTTTATTTTTCTTAAAGTGTATATAAACTATAATGAAAATAAACAACAATTCGATCATTTTTACAGGTGATTTTACAAATTATTTATCGCATTATTCCCTGAAAACATCGATTAGAAAGCGCATATTTACAAATAAATTATGTCAATTATGTTTCTATAATCTTCTGTGAAACTTTCGTCACAAAAACCTTACATTCTACCACATAAGCGAGAAATTGAAAAGGACTTTATACGTACTTATTCGTGTACAAATTTAAGAGGAATGTGCAAAGAAAATATTTGTGCACACAATTTTTGGGATTCGGGGTGGAATAAATTTACAATAAAATGCTTAGAATAGCATATTATAGAGCTATACTATGTGTGCTATGCAAAATCTATAAAACTTTAAATATTACAAAGATTGTGAAGTAAGTTGAGGAGTCAAATTACGATATGTCATTGACGATATGTCAATTACCAAATTACCAAAGCATGTGCATGCTAATCCACAAGAAAAAAATTTTCAAAAACGAAATACACAGTTTTTACGTCATCATCTTCTTTCTCAACTATCATTATTTAATGATGAAAGGTGTAATGTGACTCACTCTTAAATTTCCAACCTTGATATATTGATTTGACAACACGTTGTAACGAAAGTATGATCAAATTGAATCAGTTTTACTCGCATTAATTAATTAGTGATGCCGTACCTAAAATGTAAGCGCTTGACCCTGTCCGGTTTTAAAACTGGCTTCACTTGAAGAGAATTTGTAGACAATTTTTAGGTATCATCCATTTCTGAGGAGTTCAAGCAAAAAATTCGCAAATATTATTTTAAAAAAAAAACAGCAAAATTTGGGTACCGCCTATGTTTCTGCCCAGGGGTTACTGACCAATTCGGGGCTCAAATTAAGTTATTCTGAGTCCAATTCTGAGTTATCTCCTTCCTGTCATTATATAGTCGCCCGAGATTATGAGCAGGGTTGGCCGAGCAGACACAGCTTGCACGCTGCCCAGAGGCTGCTATTCAAACCCAGCCTAGAAGCTGATATTGAGCGGCTGATTTACGTGCTCCCCGAGACCTAGGCGGGGACACCGACTTCAGGTTCTGACCCGCACTTAAATTTTATTCAATAAATATCAAGAAATTAGGTCTCCTAGCACTCAGTCGTGAATGAAAAACATTATTGAAAAAATGAAAATTCTTAAAAGCATTAAAATGGGGAAAGAATTTAATATATTAACATTGATCAATTTCTAGTATAAAATTTAGGTTCACGTTAAGATTTATTGACGTTATATTGAATATAAGAAACGTTGGAATGTGTAATGCAGAAATTAACCGCAGATGCGGAATGTACGAACGTTATAGCAATAAATAAATATTTTTTTCATCTTAAAATTAAGTGATAACTACTAATCACATTTATATCCAACAAGGCACAATTATAAATGAGCTCCTACAAGAACTCGCTGTTTAAGGCCATCAATGAAGGCACTGATCGAATGATTTGCTTCTGAAGTTGAACATTTCTGCGGTCTTAGTATAGTGAACACGATTAGAGTAGGTAAATACGGCACACTATAATTCCTATATAAATTTATTTTCTTGTTTAATTAAAAAAAATCTGAAAACCTCAAGATTATAAGAAATATTCCTAATATTGAGGCGAAATAAAGCTACTTTTATCCTGTCATCCTAATTCAACACACTCTTCGTTGGACACACCACTTGCCTACTAAGTTCGACCGGAGTCCTCGTATCATAAGTTAGCAATTCCCAAAACTTGCCCTGACATACTGTTAGCTATTTTCAAATCAATATCTACATCAATGTTATTAAAGTCGACTTTAATATCAGACGTAGGTATTAAATCCGTGATTTTGTAGAGATCTTCCAAGGAAGGGTTGTCGCCCGCGCGCTCGCTGTGCGGCTTCAAGAGGACGCTCCTAACTTCGGCCCGAATGGAGGGAGACTGCTTCATTTGGCCCGTGCAAAACCTGTCATCCGTCATGTGGTCGTGATTCGTGCGATAACAATAATAATCTTGGTGATCAGCATGGGGCTCTTGTTTCAACAGCCTATCCATGGACGAGGGATGGGCTTCTTCGATATCGAAATTGTTCCTGTGAATATTATGGTCGTGAACGCTGTTTTCTGCATATAAATTATTAATGGCACCACAATTTAGAGTACAATCGAGATTTGAGTTATTTAAATGTTGTTGTGTTTGACTTATATTACTGATATTATTATAGAATGGATAAACTTGGTGTTCGTCCGCTTGATTCTGAGCATCTAAATTTGTTATAAATGAAAAGGCCGGACTATGAGAAATTTCTGATGGGGTAGGAGATGGTGAAGACAAAATACTGGTATCAGAATTTTCTTTATGATCATAATGACCATTATAAAAGATTAACCCAGACTCTGTCATTTGTTGAACATGACGTTGGAAGTTCACTTTCATGACGCTCTTCACGCCAAATCGCTTTAAAGAATTATTTGCAGTATCTTTAGCTTTGATGATCTTGCCTCCACTTGTACATTTTAGCTTTTCACATTTCAGTCCTTTTTTCTTGGGCCTGTACTTGTAATTAGGATATTCTCGATTGTGAAGCTCCTTGAGTCTCGCTGCTTCCTCGCGGTAAGGTTTTCTTTGCTCCTCAGTTAGGAGCTTCCATCGCTTCCCAAGCTGCTTGGAAATTTCTGCGTTGTGAGTGTCGGGTGCAAACTTGACGATTTCTCTCCTCTCCATCTGCGACCAGACCATGAAGGCGTTCATGGGCCGCTTGATGTGGTTCGGCGGATGCTTCTTCGTCTGCAAGAGAAATGTTAAAAATGTAAGAAAATCTTTACTAATTATACGCGATGTTTACATTTGGTGTCTTGAATCATCAAGCACCTAATAGAAGTTCATATATAGTCTTAAAAAGCCTTCAGAAATATAAAAACTCTGCCCATTTTTCCCTGGACAGAGTTTTTATATTGCCACAAGAGGAGTCGAAAACATTGGAGAGCAACTAATCTCCTACGACTCGTTTGCACCTTTTGTGAATTCATGCTAATTGCCTGATTAGATTCCAAACGGGCCCAGCAATTAAATGGTCAGCTCCACCCTCCGAGTTCTCATTAACCTGCTAAGTCCTCGTTAATGCACTAGTATCAGCAAATTATTGGGAGTCAACGGGTAATTAGGATTTTATTGTTTCGGTCATAGGTCCTGAGGTAACTATCATCTCAATGTGTTGTGAATGTCAGTGTCGATGGTTTTCGACTTCATCTTTAATTGGGAGCGCACTACAGAGAATGGAAGAGGAATTATTTCTGATGTGAAAGAATGGCCGAAACGAATGATATTGAGACAGAATATGCGGAAACGTAAGCTCTAAACATTGTTAGTTAAAACGTACGCAGTTAAAATATATAGAGCTCTAGCTTTAAAATAATTAGCAAAAATTTTACCAATAAATGTTTGATTGATGTTGAAAAATTTGAAAAATTAAATGAGGATACTAAAGTAAGCATCAAGCAGAAAACAGGCATTGTTAATTTTTTGCAAATAATATGATGGCAGCTTAAGGTAAGTAACATCATAAGCACGTTCAGTAGCCCTTATTTTTAAAATCCTATTTCTAATCAATTGAAAGGAGATCACGGTAACGAAAGTTAGATGATAATATTTAATTGGAAAACGATAAGAACCTGTGCTAGTGATATGAAAACGACTGCGGGAAAATTCAGACTTCGAAGGTTCAATTGCGCGCTGATGTACGTGATATACTTGACTCTCGTTTCGTTTAAGCATGCGGGATCTGTTAATCAGTTTAAGTTTAGTGCCAATTTGACGTAGATAAGTAGATATATATATAAGTTATGCTGTATAGTTCACTTTCTTCACCTTACCAGTGTCAATTCTTGACGCGCCGAGGGCAAAGTATAACGACAATCGACTAATTATCAGCGTGACGGGTTCTCGAAACTCGATGCGTAAATGAAGAGATCGCTGGAGGAGTTCAGCTAACCTCGGGGGGAAGGATTTTCTCTGATCGAGATGCAGCCACGAACGCACCAGCGCCGCGTATATCGAGACGCAGCCACGAACGCACCAGCACCGCGTATATCGAGACGCAGCCACGAACGCACCAGCACCGCGTATATCGAGACGCAGCCACGAACGCACCAGCACTGCGTATATCGAGACGCAGCCACGAACGCACCAGCACTGCGTATATCGAGTCAGCAAAGTGAAATGCACCCACGCATTTCTAGCTATCATTTGTTTTCTCTTATGAGCACCTTTGTTAATTACCTCCTTTAACATTTATTTAGTTCATATTAGTTTTAATTTAGTTCGTAATTTATCTAACTTGACTGATGCCTCGATATTGTTAGTATTAGAATTGTTATTAATAACCGTAATAATAATACAATCGAGCCTCCTCAAGCCCGAAATCTCTTAATTTGTGCAAAAATTTATCTATTAACATTTTCATCATCCAATCGGGAACAAAGTGATACCAAATCGAAAAATCATTCGGAAGCGTAATGATGCGAAATAGAATTTTTTGGCAGTTAGACTTGCTCCAGTTCCTGACATCGACCTTACCCTCAAAATAAGTCAGAATGAGACACACCCTCAAAGCTTTAAAACTTGCCAGCACGAGTAGGAGAATAAAAAGGCTTCAAAAGGCGACGATGACCTTTGACGAAGAATTTCGCGATTGCTTGCAACTAAATAAGTCTATTTCCGTTTCCGAACGTAGTGACGCCCAACGCATTTGCTCGTCAGCTCTTAATCAATGAAAAGTTTAACCACTCGAAATCAGAAAAAAAATATTTTGAAGTAAAGCAATCAGCTAAGAGAACCGATTTATCATGATACATAGAACAAAAATGACAGCAGAGGAGGCAACGGGTTATAATTCCCGTGGACAAGACTGGAATGGTTAGAATGCCGAAAATTAACGTGCCTTAAAGTGCAAATTTTCGTGAATACTTTGCGAATGTAATTATTGAATTAAAGACACTCATTAAAAAGTTGTTGGTTAGAGAAGTCCTTTCTAGATGTCAAGAATTTTGCTAATTTATTTTATATATGACTAGAGAGATTAAAATTTATGTTTAAAAAGATAAACATGCCTCCGGTTCATATATGTCGTGCATACCCAGGATCTTGAGTGCAGTGAGTTTGGGCTCGTAACACGCGCGGACTTGCATTCGATAAGCAACGGTTCATTATTTCCTTATGATATTAAATTAATATTTATTGCAATCGAACAGATTTTATGTAGTCTAGTTCATTATTATTTATTATTTTCAATTTCACTCATCAAAAATATCGTATTACAAGGGAAAATGTACAACAAACATAACATGCTTTCTATTTTTCTGAAAAACAAGGCGTAGATCAGTTAAAATGCTAGTACACAACTTGCCACGTTTATTATATTCTATTTTACATGAATTTTACATGAAAATAGCTCACCTGCGTAGCGTCTGAGTACGGTGTGTTCGAGTCCTTCTTCACGGCCATGGAGCCGAAATTGGTGCTAAGTGGTCGAGTCTTAATTTCTGGATCGTCGTTGTGAAAATATGGAAGCATCTTCACAGTGAGTGATCTGGCAATCTACTCGAATTCATTGGAATAGTTCCAGTAACTGTTACACAAATTTCCCTCCTGCCTTTATGAAATCCAATAAACGACTTTTACACTCAGCTCATTACCAAAGAAAAAGCTTGAAATGATGTTGACTATGCTGCACAGTATGGAAAAAATAAGAATTTACTCTCTGATTTTTTATTAGAGCCTTTGTGTGGTTTAAGAAAACGTCAAATCTATTTGATCATTAATTCTCAACTCCTTATAGCGCCTGAAGGATTTTAATCAACGAAAAATCATGCTAATTATTTCATTATAATGTTATTCGCTCACTGAAGCGGGTTAAATGGATTCCATTATAAACTTAATAATTATCCAATGATGTCAACGTACAACAATGAAGTCGGATGTGAATCCAATTTTAGTGATGGTCGGCAAGCATATAAGATCAAATGTGCTCTAAAAATGTTTTACAAGACAGAGCATATCACACATAAAATCTACAGCACTGATGCCCAGATATATACAGGATATTGTATACTGCAATTTTGTAATGTCCGATGTATTAACATCGGACTGGCATGCTGTTGTTCAATACATTTATTAAATGCAGTAATCTATAATGATATTAAAATATGAGGCTATCAGTTATAAGCATGATATTACATGCTTTGCCTACTGTCAAAACATGATTTGATTACTTGATAAAAAAACATAGACTATACAACATCGGCGACTCATATTCTGGCCGGTTAATGTTCAAGATCTCTTGTCACATACATTGACATACATATATGAGATAAACTGGAAGTTGACAGCAACTCACAGGCATCCTGAGCAAAGCTGGTTATCTACTAATCTACCCTCTTCATTCAAATTTCACTAATTTCTTAAATTCACACGGAAATAAATTAGTAACACGAGTTCAAATGAAAAATCGTAACGCTCAATTTCTTCACTCTATACCAAGTATTTCAAGAAAGATGACTCAAATTAGACATTCATTCGTTTTAGCTTCAGCTTTCTAAAATTTTTGCAACATTTGTAAACAATAATTAATTTCACGTTATCAAAGTTCGTTTCTTGCAGCTTAAAACGATACCGGGATAACACGAAAAAAGTTCACAAATATTGTTAGAGTTCTCGAGCGGACGCCATGCCTCGGTTGTGTCGTGCTCCGGAGGTAGTACACCTCACCATGCACTCCAACCCTTGCCAAGAAAACTACTGAGCTCTGACTTGCAAGACCAGTGCATTTAAACCACCCAACCATGGAAACACGGGCACACTTTTGTGCCATGAGCGTCACTTCGATCTCAGCGTCATTAAGGTGAGATAGATGTACTGCCTTCCTTGATCTCATGGGATTAGTTAAATAAATTCTGATGAATGGAAGTGAAGTATTTCCTATGAATTTTATTGGAAATCTCGAGAGTAAACCTTGTTCTCATATATTCGAATTCTGGTCGATATTTTAAATGGAAGAACGTGAACGTTTAGCCACGCGTATCTCTTATAAGAACCAGAATAATCCTATAAATTGATGTATTTCTTACACTCGCTGCAAGAAAATCAAATGTTATGTAATATTTAATATTTACATAGGTCAAATCCAATATTTAATTCATGTTAAATTAACTGTATATCGGAATCACGTAATACAAATTCTATTGTTAGTGTGAATTACTATCATTTATGACCCAGGATAGATTTTTTTTCGAGCCTCTTACTATTTTTTTCAAGCATCCTACTATAAAACCTGAAAAAATAGTCCTATATTGTTCTTTAATGCTCTAGAGCTCCTCAACGGTATAACCGAATATAAAAATCACTATCTCTTCAACAGCTGAAGTTGCACAATGAAAATAAAAAATATGCTGTTTATACGAGAAGTTTGGAGTACAGCTACCACCATCATCAGCCATTATTGCACTATTTAGCTTGGCGCGCTTATTAATTTGACTTTTATCACGTCACTCTACCTGAAATGGAATCTGCTATGTTCTCAAACAAGATTTTACCTTCCAAGCTTCCTTCAGTGCTTTCTTTTCTATTTATGAAAAAAAAGGAAAGATGACATGTAAAGATGAAAAAAAGATGTGACATGAAAAATGAAATGCAACGATGATTTCAACAATTATTTTTCAAATTTCTTTCGGCACTCAATTTATTTGTCAGTAAAATGCATAAAAAAGTTTTATTAATAATTTAAACTAATTTCGATCATTTTTTTGAGTAAAAAATAATTTTGTGTGTCAAATGGCCTGCAAACACACATCTATGCCGATCCACACATGCTTGGTCAATACATCCATCTTTAGTGATAAGTGCAGAAATGTGTTTACATGTATTGATACTCTGATGAACTTTTAGGTTAACTTTTGAATTGGGCATTAATTACAGTAGTTTAATATACAGGAAGATTATACGTGTAAATATTACAAGAAGTGAGTCATATGAAGCGCGATGAGCAGCATCAATAAAAAGCTAGCATTTTTATGAGATTTTTTATCGAATGCAGCTCATCATTCATAAAAATTTCACTACTCCTGGACAATAATTCTCCTGAAACCTAACATGACCGCGTGTAACAAAGCCGCATGTTTCGGTCTTCTTTTACTAGAAATAAATGAGATCGATCAATCACAGCTATGATATCCCGTATGAAGCTTTGTTGCCTTTAATGTAGAGCTCATCTTCAGTTCATGATGCGTTGTTACAGTGTTGCACAACTCGCGTGCTCTTTGCGTAACGTACTTATAAAGGAGATGCTTTGGAAACACGACCATAGTAGCGTGGCTGCTTGATGGACTTCAACAATCCTGGCTGACTATGGGAGAAAAGAAGAGTTCCATGCATGGGAGGGTTAGACAAGATTGCCAAAATGAAAAGTTCCAAATGCCTTACATGATCCTTGAAAGATTTATGCAATGTATTTGACAGATCAACCTCATACTGCATGTAGTTTATTTTCGTAACTATTAACGTTCTTTAATCTATGCGTCGAATTTTCTTTTCCGTCTGTCTCATGTTCAGATGAGATTCAGGGACAGGTTGATATTGTTGCTGCATCTCCAGTGTACGTTTTTAGAGTGCGCAGGATGCAAAAATTGCACGTGGGTGTGGTTTTCAATGGAATCTTGCAGGCGACATCGCGCACTTACATTGCATGCAAAATTTGCTTCCGATCCCAGCTAGTATGTCAGGGATAGTGAATGCAGCAGCCTGTAGACCAGCCACAAATGACGGTCTAATGCTTCTTTGGAATTGACTCCAGAAAGGACGATAGCAATCTCGCCAAAATGGAATCATTTAACAGTGCCTAGTAAATCTGGAGTAACTTGGTCTGCTAGAGTGCGCAGATCAGAACAAATTTCGACGACTCTTCTGTGAAGAGAACGAATTAACTGAATTTCGTCGCAGATGAGGCTCAATTGTTAGAGCCTGACTGAGGCTTGATTCCGAGTTGACGATCATGGGTGAGAAATATTGCTTGGTCGCTAAATAGGCAGTTGATGGCAGCAGAAATCTAAGGTCTTTGGAAAAATCACCTGCACTGAAGTCACACTCATTTAAATTTATATTCTCCCAATATATGAGGTTCATAAGTTCTTATTTTCCATTTTCCATTTATTTTAAATTCGTTGCATTTTATCTCGTACTGACCACAGGTCTCAGGCGCAAACGAGGCCAAAATTACTTGCAATAAACATGGATATAAATGATGCTGAAAAGTTTGCACACGTATTGTCTACGAAATGAATCCTTCAACAACGAAATACTTCATTTACCGGCAGCACCCGCACAACGCTTCTCAAAGAAAAAAAATTAAGCCGAAAATATTGTATCAATGAATAATTTTATCATGAGAGATTCTCAGGAAGCATGCATACATAGCATATGACTAGGAAATCTTAACATTCTAAACTTACTATTATTATTACTATAACCATTCTGTAAAAGCGATGTTACACTACGAAGCTTCGGCAATTTTAAGTTCTCTGACCAATTTATTTCAGAAAAGTTTTACGTTTAAAATTTAAAATTGCACGAACCAAGTATTTTATTTTTCATACCAAAAATCTGGATTTCACGAGCAAGATTGGGCGAAGGAAAGTTCACGATCCATGGGCACTTCTTTTTAGAGCATATTTGTGAAGAATAGTCGATGCGACTCGGAGATTTGACCGTAACTGGAATTTTTTCTTAACAAGCTGAACTGTAACACAAACACTATCTACCCGAGGATATTCTGTTAAAGAATAAAAGTCAATTGGGTTCATGCAGAACGATTTAGAAATATTTTCGCCCGTAAAATCTTTACAGCGAAGAGCATGATATTTTCGTTGGAGATGAACACGGTCAGTCCATCTCGACTCTCCTGTAGCGAAGAGTGCATGTTTTAGAGACCGTCTCTTAATTCATGAGTTGCTTGACATCCTTCTTTAGAAACAACCATTGTTTGTGTTTTTTATTTGCAAGCCTGTTTCACCCGTTACTCTGGAAATAGAGGCCGCTGGGTCGTGATCTAAGGTATCGTTAACACTTCATAGATCGGCAGGAGAATGCAGGCTCTCGAACTTTTTTAAGATATTGTCGGAACCTTCGTCGCTTTCCAAAAGCGGGCAAAATCTTCTGAGACCCAACGAGTCGCTTAATTTCTTTGAAAAAATTGGTATAAAGTAACGCGAGTGCAGGGAAAACTTTTAAGTCATGCGTCAGGGGAAAGATAGCAATACATTTTATTCGTACGTGGTGGATTTACGTTCAATAGTATGCAGATATAGTCATTGAAAATTCTTCACGATTGATTGTTACTATCTGATTTTTTTTGCAATTGTAGGCACATGCAGCATCTGTTTGTTCTAAAAGACAGGCCCAATATCATCTGTTAGACTGATCAATTAGCTTTGATTCTCAAAATCAACTTATTTTGGATACAGTCGACATGAACGTATTCACATTTTATAAGAATTCGTAGTGCATTTTTATATGAAAAGGCATCAATTGAACAGTGTCATATTATTAAATAATTTCATTTTGGTAGCTTGAAAGATGCGCACCGAACGAAACTCTAAACAAAATTTACAATATGTAGCAGCTGATAAATT